AACTAACACCATAGGGTGTTCATGTTAAAGACCTTCTACAGTTTAAACTAACACCATAGGGTGTTCATGTTAAAGACCCTCAACAGCTCAAAATGAAAAATATTAAACTAAAATTGCTGTTTATCTCTCATTGTGAAAGCTAAATATTTTTCAGAAGGATGGGGCACAAATATTTTAATTCATTAAGATTCCACATACTGCCAGATTGCAAAATGTTCATGTTATTAAGATTGGACATTAGCCAGTGAATAAATCTGTTTTAACATGTTGTGTTTATAATTGACTGTCAGAAATTGTGCTGAAGGCAAAAATTGAAACATGCCAAGATTTATCATCTGTTTAATTTTTTTTTTCATGAAAAAATTATTTGAAAAATGGCACATTTTGATTTAGAGTGAAAAGATTTATGATTTAAACTTTTACTTCTAAAACCATATCATTCCATTGTTTTTTATTTCTTTAGCAAAAACTTAAAACTGTCTCTTTTGTTAAAAAAAACTGATTTTCTGTTGACAACAGTATTTAAGTAACAAGCTGTTATAAAATAAGGAGTTTAAGCACAGATTAACTGTCTATGAATATATATGTATGGTGAAGAAATGGAATGAAGTTCATAACACAATAGATTGATATCTCTATTAACGGAAAAATCAAGGATGATTTTACAATGTTACAATAGTAACAGATATTAAAATAACTGTGTCAAATGTGGCACACAAGATTTTATAACAATTCTTGATATTTGAAGTGTTATAATAAAACTCTTTACAAGTGAATTATGCCTTGTTTTAATCAAAAGTGGGCTGATTTTTAGGGATTTTTGGTTTTCTGCAGGGACTGAATTTGAGCAAACTTATAAACTATTGAGAAACTAAATGTCAAGCTCTTGATGTGATAGCTAGAAATCTTTCATAACATCAGGAGGTATATCTGACAAGTATTTAAACTAATTCTTTATAAATAACAGATCTACAAGCACTACATGTATTTAATGTGTTTCTACATGTAATAAGCATGTTTATTGGTGGAATTAAAAGATTAATAAGACCAGGAATTGGGTGTGATATTATTTATTAGTCAAGCAGAAGGCCTACTGTTGCATAATTCTTACAGTCTTGATAGTTAATCAATAAGATTCCTTCTCATATCAACTCCTAACTTATACCATTGGTTTGATGGTGAAAATACACTCAGTAGATCTTTATTATGAACTCTGATATAGTACAGAGACACAAGATGATCTATTATAATACATTATAAATCTAACCTAGTAATTGTATTCAGTTGAGGTTGTAGCAAGTAAAATCTAGTAATATCTATAAGTTATAAGATTGTAAGTAAATTATTGTAAAATTGGTTGTCAGTTTAAACTGGAGTCAAGATATCATAAACTATTGATTTTGTTCTAGTACCATCTTCTACAATGACTAGATTATGAATATATTGTATGATAGTTTTCTTCAATTTACCCATACTTCCAAATAAACATAGGCAATGTAAAGTCTACAAAAGGGTAATCACAATATTCTGGCCTTTAATGTGACCAAGAAAAGGTTTTTAATATTTTTAAATGTTAGTTCAGCTGATCAAACTTGTTTGAAATTTTTTCTGAAAACTTGACTGTGTCCCTATTTGGCACCTCAAAGGTATTTTCAGTTAGTAACATTTCATTTTAAAGAATTTAAATTTTAATACCACATAAAACAAAAAAGAGCTTTTTTACTGAATGAAGTTCATTAAACAATAATTACTCCCTCGACTTGAGAGAAAGGATTTAGTTCAAATGTTTGTTTTTATGAAACTGGCATAAAAAACTGTCATTAATGGTATTAAAGTGTCTGAAAAGATATTGGTTTCTGTAAGAAATGCCACATACCTGTTATTGTTATAATTCAATCACATGTGATCAACAATTCATTATCATCTCATCTCAATTAAACATGTTGTATGAAACAAGTTCTCTCTCCCCTAGCCCATTCACCAGTTTTATAACCCATTACTGCATATTTTCAGATATCGACCGAGAAAAGGAGGCAGCGGCAGTCCTGATTCAGCCATTTGGTAATGAAGTGAGACTTCATGTCTTTTTTCAGCATGATACTATGTGATGATGCATGGCTTGGGCCAAAACAAAATATTGTTTCTTCAAACCGTGCTACTTTGTTGCAGGATGGATGAAGATGTTTGTTGTCTATATAATAATGTACATTTGGATATATTGTATGTGTGTCAAACAAGAATGTAGAAATTAATAACTATAGGACTCATGGTTGATTGAATGAACTTTAAATTAAGTACATCTGATTGCTGCAAAAAGTTTGTCTAGAGTCTGATACTTGAGGTATCAAACACAGTCTTGAATTGAACATTTGAGAAGATATTCCCAATGTCTTGAAAATTAAACATCAAAATTCCATTTAAATTATCCATTTATGCTGTCTGTATTTCTGCATTCTTATGGTAATTTCTATGCTTTTGTATTTTATATGATGTAGTTTTGTAATATTTCAGTGAATAACAAACCTAACTTAACTGACAATTCTCTTTCAGAGTCCAGAACAGCTTGTATGTTGTAGCTTACCCCTTGTAACCCATTTACCAATATCATATTTGGAACATAATTAATTTGTATTTCAATATCATTGTACAACTTATGGTACATATTTGATCATTATATTATTTTACAGTAAGAAACATGGGAAGCCATGTCTGAAAGGGACAGATGCGCCATTTTTTTGACCAATTATAAATTACTAATGTCTCAGAAACAGGATTGTGTACCAAGAATTATCCATGTTTGATGGTTAAAGAGACACTGCCATACATAGAAAAGACATATATAGAAATAGAAAGTAAAATTCCTAGTTTGAGATATTTTTGAAGCAATTATACATTTCTAGTACTTCTGAGGACTATTTACATAATTCAAGACTCAATTCATAAATTGAGAACATATTTGAGTTTCGTGCCATGTTGAACACTGACTTGATCATATCTCTAAGGCAACTTAACACGGTCAGCATGGTGGGTGTAAAGGACAAGATAAGTGCAGATTAAGATAGGTTATCTGTAGCCTCAAAATAAGATACTATGCATTATCATTCAGATTAAAGTTATAGTTAGATGAAGGTCATCATAGGTCATCTATGAATAGCCTATTCACCAAGTCAATTGCATGCAAGTATAACTTTTATCTAGGAATTTGATATGAGTACTCTTCAAAAAGGAGATATAAATTGTGTATATACTAAAAGAATGAAGAATAACCAATCATTATTAACTATATGAAAACTATCTACAATGACAACTCATACAAGCATCATATCATTGGCACTCTGTCATTGTTTTGTGATTTTGATGTTACTAAAGTTAATATAGTAAAGTTGCTGATGTAGATGTGTTATAGGGTGGCCTGGGGTAATTTAAATAACCAGACAGGGTTCTTTTATGGTTTTAATATAGGTGTGAAACGGAAATCAAAAACCCTGCAATACACAAATATAACAATTAAATACAATTATAAATATAACAAATACAAATAAAATACAAATCTTTACAATAAACGAAATTGCCAACTATATATAACACAAAACCTAATTCATTAATATTTGAAATAAATAATTATTCAACGTAATATACATTTATAATACATAAGTTGTAAATAACTCTTACCGGAAGTGGGGTTTAAAGATGAATATAACTATGTAACTTATTATTTACCACACAACTTATTCCTGAAACAGGACATTAAATCAAATAACAAAAATTAAAACACTAATGTAATTGACTTTTATAAATGTAAAAAATATGGTTACTTTATGAAAACTTACTAATAATATTCTTTAATTGTATACTTAAACTAATACTTATAAAACACTTTAACCTCTAAACCTCTAAACTATATCCAATAAAATCCAGATTACCATATGAAATTCAAACACATCAATTTGGTGAAAGTACAAACTGACTTGACTATACAAAAGCTAGGTAACTAATGACTCTGTATCCAGGTATCCCAATATCCAAAAAAAAATGTAACTACAAGGTGATGATAGATCACTGAACAAAGTTTATAGAATTAAACTCAAGAAAAAATAAGAAGAGGAAGAGAGAAAATAGAAAGTGAGAACAAATTAGAAGATTAGTAATAAGTTTTTGCTGTAAAAATTAATCATTCATTAACATTAAAGTCATATTCTCTCATACTATAACAGATGCTTCATTGACTGACTGATATAGCTCAATTTCAGCTATCACCTTTTATATGCAGGAAAATGAAATGTCAAATGCATGTATATTAACATGTATGCCTACATGTATGTAACAGTAGAAATGGTTTCAAAGCCCTCTCCAACTTTCAGCTTGAAAAATCAGCATCTGATTTGAAATGATATATCTAGATGACTTTCCAATTATATTGCGTCTGTGGAAATATTAAAGATAACTTTTGCTTGAAAAGAAAATTGAAATCTGATTTTTGTTTTATTAACAGACAAGACTACCTTCAGTTCTTTTATTACAATATTAATAACAACTTTCATTTTATGTTGTGTATTTACTATTGTAGATGTCATTGTTCCAATTCTTATGTTAATCCTTAATTATTCATCACATTTGTTTGCTTTCATCGTAGTTAATATTATTAGTTGTTGTCATCATTAATATTAGTATGTTTTTTCCCTTCTTCTTATTTCAAAACAGGTTGCTTCATCAGATGTGTAATCACATCATTAATTAATTTCATCTTATTATGATCAAATCATATTCAGAAATGATCAGATCATATCAAATTATGATCAAATCACATCATCCAAAAAGCTTAACTAATCATCAAAATCATTTCATATAGTCAATTAATGATCAAATCACATCATCATTATCATATATCATCAAATTTAATTTATATTGTGTGCCTTTCCTAGCATATATTCTTATTAATTTGAATTTAATTTAGCCTGTTCATGTATAAATATATTTAAATATTTGCTTGTATTTTTCAGCTATACATTCCCTAGTATGCAGAGTCTTGGTGAAGATTTAGTCTGTATTTTAGATCAATTGGAGTAAGTATTATTATTTTTGTGAGAACAGATTTGATAATGTGCTGTCCTACAAATCAAGACATTACAACATTGACAGTTCTGTTTAAAATGGCTATATTGAACCAGAAATTGGATACTGGGTATTTATTATCAAGAGGCATAGCTTCTACTGCACATCCAAAAATATCAATTGTTTTAAAATGGTGAATTTGGAAATCTGGTAAGAACAACTGGTAAGAACAACAGTAAAGAGCAGAAAAAGAATTTGCTTTTTCTTCTTTTGTTTTATAAGGGGTGTACATTATGCATGTTTGTGTATAATAATCACAATTATACAGTAATTGGTGATTGCCTGTAAACTGAAATTATTGTGGTACACATGAGTTTTATCTGGTAAATGTATATGTAATGTTAACATTAAGAGACTAGTTAAACATTATGCAGTTGTAATTTAATGGAATGTTATAAATCAAGTACACCCTAGAAGGAGTTTTTACACTGGTTTTAAGGTGAACTATAAAATATAGGCTATTTAAATGTTTGATAAACATGTTTATTATAAGTTAGTTATATGTATCTTAAACATTCTTACTTGTCACATCAACTGCATCTAATGTTTCATCTTGAGTGTTAAAAATATCTTTATATAGTGAAAACAAAAAATCTAAACCTAGTTGTAAAAACCACCATATTTTACATGGACAATCATTTGATTACTTGAGGAATTTGTCCACAAGCTTATCTTCAACAAAACCTTCTGCTGGATTAACCTCAAGATATATTAAACATTATTTCCACTACCCAGAGAATTTTTTTCAAAATGGAACTTAATAGTGGGTTATGATCAAAATTAAATGAAATCGATATGTTTTCACTCAGTTGTCAAACAAAATTGAGCAATCTAGCGCCTACTGCTTTTCCCCTAAAATAATCCTCGCAGTCTCTGAATCTGAGTAAAGAAAAATCCAAATCTCTTTAAATAACACAATACTGATGCCTATGCCAGTTTTTCTGTGAGTCGACTTAGTGTCAGCCCCCTTCCCCCCTCCCAAATATAATTAGGGTACAAACAATTAGGAATGGAGTAAAGACTTATATGCCTCCATGTAATCTGATATCTTCATTAATGACTTCTAGAATTACAATTATCATTAGGATTTTACATCAGACTTTTTCTTCTAAGCTTTATGGTGCTCATAAATAATGATTGTTGACGTTATGGATTAAGGGCAGGTTTGGCTCATTTTTACTCTACTTGAGAAAGAAGTCAAGGTCAGATTAAAAGGAAATAAAAGAAGTTTTATTGTACTCTTACACTGAATATAAATATTTACAAAATAGGTCATCATAGAAAGTACATGTCGGTCATGAATAACTCCCATACGTACTGGGTAACATATTAAATGATTGATAATTCTTCAATTCAAAATTTCACATTCTGATAGTGACCCATCCATGAAATTACGCTTTCATCTTTTTGAGTCAATTTCAGATATACATACTATGATTATTACCTATAGCTTTCACTATAGATTTACATTATGTCCTATGGCCAAATTTTAAAGGGGCATCATTGAACAGATGATGTGCTTGGTGGAAAACTAGGAAATTTGATTTTCAAAGATTTTAAGCAGTATTGCATGTGAATTGTTGAGTTTTATATTATAATGTCTGACCAATGACATTTTTTATTTTCAGTGTTAAAGAAGTTATTGGATTAGGAGAAGGAGCTGGAGCTAATATTATCGCTCGCTTTGCTGTAAGTAGTATATGTAACTATTATAATGTTGTCTATTCTGCCCATTCACAGTATTGTCAGATGTTTCTAAAGTTTCAGCATGCTTTATTTCACTATCGATCACAGTAATAATCAAAATGGATAAATATAATTAATTTTTTTTGTGTGTGTTCACCTATTTTTGTTTAATCAAAATGAAGTTTTCTTGAAAGATTTAGCAGCAATTTTTTGGAATATTTATGTAACTATTTATCATATCTCTGAATTTGATGGCTCTTTTATTTACCTGTGTTCATTATTTTGTAGATGGCTCAGCCAGAACGTGTTAGTGGTGTATGTTTAATACATTGTACAGGTTCTACAGCTACTGTGATGGAGAGTTTGAAAGATCAGGTACAATTTACGTACTTATTTTACTTACAATCTAATCAAAGGTTGAGGTTATATCAGAAACTATGACTGTTTGAAAGGAGATCAGGATTGTTTGATGTATATAATTACTAAAGGGTTGATTCCAAGCAGAAAATTGATGTATGAACACATGTATCAAAGTCAGTTTGTTCAAAAGATGATGTTTCCAGAAGAGAATTTTGGCTGGTGCAGAAAAAATTTATCAAAAGTCTTATCTAAAATTTTAAAATTTACAATCAAAATTGTTTGTGAAGTTACTTTACATGGTATCCCATAAGTCTTTCACTTGGTTTCATGCATCTTAAACTTCTTTTAAATTGTGTTCTTTCCACAGAAGCGTTGTCACCTCTTATTAGATATATATTTCAAAACTTGTAGTTTACCTTGTTCAAGTAATGTCCTTGCATTTTGATAAATTTGCTGAGTTCTGCATGTATTTTGGTATTTTATATAAAGGGAAACTACTCTTCTTTTCAGGTTATCAATTGGAAATTAGAACAGATTGGTATGAACCCTACAGCTGAAGCTTATCTTGTTTTACATAGATTTGGATCTGTAAGTATATATAACATATGTCTATAACTATATGTAAATTGCAAAACTAGTAGGCTCTTAATGAAAACTGATAGTTCTTGAGTCCTTTCCAAAACTTTTACAGTGTTTTTCAGTCACAAGTAAATGTCTTTTTCTGAAGTCAATATATTTGATGTTGTTACTTCAAGCTGATCTATATCAATTGCTTCCTGTTTTGTATCATATATCTATATTCCTGTTTATATGCATTTGTTTACTTAATTCTGTTTCTTTTATTTTTTGTATATTTCATTTGCAGAGCTTTAGTGCATTTTTGATTTTTGTTTAGTTTCTATGTTTTAGTTCTTTTTATTTCATAATTTTTAAAACGATAGCCACACATTTTTTTCATAAAAAATTCAAAAAACACTTAATTTATTTCAGAATTTAGCCTAGGTTTTTGATTGATTTAAAATATTACACTATTTTTTTTATTGATAAAAATTGTGCATATTAATTAATTATGTGCATTAATTTCTTTCATACCAACCATGAATAGTCAGAGGTAATGTAATTAGCACCTCGTTAGTGAATCTTTCACTTTAGTTTTTATTCTATATATTTTAATATATTATTCGATGCCATGGGGATCAAGTATGCTAATGAATTTAATATTATGAATATTTATTAAAGGATAATTTGTTAAAAGGTGGCTAATTAACATAATATATACAAATTATTATTCTAATATTGATAACCAATTACTAATTTATTATGATGAATAATAACATTTTGTGCTGCTTTTTGAAAATTAACCATTTTACACTAATATAATAATCAGGGAATGAGTAAATCTTCTAGGAAGAGGCAGTTTTACCTCACTGGACATAACATCCAAGATCTACTCTATAGCAAATTTAGAAAGAGCCTAGTAGTGGTCTACCTCTAAAAATGATTGATTACACCCATACATTCTTTATTCAAATTATATTTTTATAAACTATGTTCTAGCTTGATTGTTTTAAAATTTCAATATTGAAAGCACTTTTGTATTTATCTAGATTTGGAAGATAAAACTAATAATACAAAACTAATACGTCAAAAAGTCATTTCTTCAGAGAGTCCAATTAGAACTTAACTATATTGGAAATTTGTATTCAACCAAGATTGTTATAAACATGTATCACTCTACCAATAGAAAACTTCTTTCAGTGCAATATGAATATTTTATGTATTTTAACTCATTGAAGTTTAGTGGTTCCTTACATTAAAACCTATTTAAATGAAACTTAACAGTGATCAATAGAGTGGAAAATGCAGCCTTTTCTGATGTGTTCCTTTTATTGTGCTATCATTGATGGAGAGAATGTTTTTTATGTCCCCTTTCTAGATTTTTTGTAGTTGAGTATAGGATAGATATTTTAGATAGCCTATCCATGTCTTTTTTTAAATTTCTTAGCACAAGAAAGTTTCTCAAAACAATCTCTGGAATTTCTTTTTACTTTCTTGACAGAGTTAAAACTACTGTTTAGTAGTTTCTGCATTGTTTTCTTAATAATCTGAATTTCTTACTATTTCTCAACACACAGTTCTATATTCTCACCAGACTGATAATTCTCAGCATTATTTCTACTAATTGCATATGTGTTGAATCTTTTGAATATCTAGTTGATTATTTGATATTAACTGTTTTGCTTAATGCTTTAATAACAACATAATAAAGTATGGCAATGTACCTGAAATACAGCTTGAGATATTTCATTGTGTATCTGTGAGTTACTTATACCATGATCTGGCAACAGCTATAGAAATTACATTTAACCAACGCTAAGGAAGCGCTTGTACATTACTTGTGTGGAATTATACAATATTCATAATGGAGGTAATTGATCAAAGCGTAAATGTCTTTGTTGGTAATATCTTTAGGTCAAACTTATATTTAAACTAAAATGATGGTCATGGTTATGAGTGATGTTGACAGGGAAAAGAAAAGAAACAATATCTTGAGCTTAATTTCTTATCATTTTTACAATAGCCTTTTGCACATGTACGTTTTCAGATAAGTTTTTGCTGTAAAATCTTCTTAAATAGCATGGTTAACATTAATCATTCTTAGATATAATATGAGGATTAATTTATAAAAGAAAAAAAAACATCCTCCTGTTATCGTTAATTGTTTGCATGAGTTTAAAGTAGGCTTAGAAGATCTACTGGTGCATGATTATGATTTCAATGATGCCATAGTTGTTAAGCAAACTTTATTCATTGCAGGAAGTTGAAAACATTTCAGATAATTCTCACTTTCTGATCTGATATAATTCCCAAAGAATGGGCAAACTTGATTTGTTGCACTACTTTACTCTGACATAATGTGGCAAGGCAAACAAATATGACATAGTTTGGAAATGTGTTACAAGACAAAAGATTCTGAGTATAGTCAAGCAAAGAAATTAATGCTCGTCTAGTTCCAATTCAAAACATAAACAAAGGAAATTGGAGTCTGTGGTAGAAGTCATGATCAACACCAATGGTCAGTAAGAACTGCTGGAACCTGGGCTTGTATTCTCGAAATGATCTTAGTGCTAGGATGTCTTAAAAACAGTATTAGAAGGTAAGACCTTAGGATGTCCTAGCACTAAAATCATTTCAAGAATACTGGGCCTGAATGTGCACGAAAATATCTTTCCTTGACTACAGCTGAATACTGAATAATGGACATGAATGAATGATAAGTCTATTGAAGTGTATTGAATATCACCAGTAGCAAGAATGTTAATGATGCAGAATATTCTTGGAACTTGCTATCAATATCAATCTATCAAAAGTTTTTCTTCCTGACTAAAATACTTTGTTATTGTACTTTATTGTATGAACCAGTTTGTTGTAGATTGATAAAGCAGAAAATAAAGAACAACTCGCTGTAGTGATTTCAGCCTTTCAAGATTCTTTGCGTTCCAAAATTAATGCTAAAAATCTGAAGAGATTTGTACAATCTTTCATGAAGTAAGTATATTTTGTATAATATGAATATATATTCTTGGAGAATATTTTTTTCAAACTAACAAACAATGGCCATTCCTGTATGTTCTTGAAACTCATAACTTCTATCATGAGTTTTTGAAATAACATGTAGTTGCTGATTTAGAATTTCAAACTCATTAAAAATAAAGAGAATTACAGATTGTATTGGAATAGTTCTATCATTCAGCAATGTGAAATGGTTGGTGTGAGTGCAACAAAATACAAAAGCAATTATCTGAAAAGAATCTGTGCTGTTGAACATGCAATTTTTTGTTCATTCTTTTAGGAGATCCAATATTGCAGAATCTGTTGGAAAGATCAAGTAAGTCTTTAAACACTTATAATTCCAAACTATCTTATTACATGGCAGAAGAAAATCTGAATCACTGTACTGTTTGAAGTAATGAGTATCATAGCATAGCTTTTTCACTGTTATCTGGTCCATTTACTCTGTCAATTGGGATAATGTGACAGTTGACTTTATTCCAGCCATCACTTTCTCGATTACCCATTATCACAGCTGTTTCAACACGGTGACAAAAGTTGACTTTCATGGGCGCCAAGATTGTGCACTCTGAGGAGATCAGAGATCTAGATCACAAATCCATCATGAAACCAGTGAGGGTCAAACTTCCAATGATCTAACCAGCACTGATCTTTGTTCCAAACTCATTTCCTCAGGTTAAACATTATTTTGTTGATTTCAGATGTCCTGTGTTGATGATAACTGGTACTAAAGCCTATCTTTATAAACCTTTCATGTCATTATATAAAAAGATGCAAGCCTCACTACCTAAGAAAAATGTTGAAATTCTAGAAGTTTTGGATATAGCAAATGTCTTAGAAGAGAGAGTAAGTTTTTTTTAGTTTATTATATCATCTTTCATACTCCTTATTGCTGTACCAAAACTAAGTAAAACTATTTGGAGCAAAGTAGATAATTATAAAATCTTGTATGAGTTTGATGTTAACCGATATCTCAAGGGTTTGCCACAGTATTCCCCTTGACATTGGTTTAAAACATTATGTGCCAAAGTTATCTTCTGAATTTGATACAGGCACTAATGTGTCAGTTGTTTGACTATATATTTTAGGGACAAATCAGTTGTGTGACCACATATTTTGGGGGACAAATAAGTTGTGTGACCACATAATTTGGGGGACAAATCAGTTGTGTGACCATAAAATTTGGGGACAAATCAGTTGTGTGACCATATAATTTGAGGACCACATATATTAAAGAGCTTATTGGTTAGTAATTTGTAAATACTTTTTAAAAAATGTGATCAACGATTGTTTTTCTTTTACAGCCAGATAAATTTGCAGAAAGCTTTTTATATTTCTTACAAGGACAGGGTTTCGGTAAGTATTTCCTGTTCATCTGTTTGATCTTGCTACATTCCTGTATGTACATTTGTTTCAATTGCTAAGAAGTACAAGTAAAAGCAGATATCACAATCATCTGTCCATTCATTTATATTGAAAAATCTACCATTAGAAATAAATATCATCTGTAATCTTATTTTCATGAAACATGGTTATGTGTGGTCAAGATTCTTAACACTAATACTAAAACAAGTTTTAATTATTTCATGCAATATTTTTATAGGAGCTGGTGTACCTATGCCTAGAGTTCAGAGGTCAGCTTCGATTGAAGGAGGGATAATACCACCAACTGGAGGAAGACTCAGAAGTTTGTCCATGGAAGAGGCGGATCAACCACGAGGAATATACTCAATGAGTCCACCCAAATTTGGTACCTCACCACCTGCGGAACATTTGCCACCTCTCAGCAGCAGTCCACCCAAAAGTTAAAAAGTGTGTGGAATTATTCATTTCCTATAGGGGCAGTTTGTTGATATATTTTGATAAAAGATTGAATTGTGATGATTAATTCTTACTTTAATTGACATCTTGAATTGCAAACGGACAGATAATATGATATAGTATCAAACTAGTTATCATACAATTTTCTAAAATGTAGCTTGTTACAATACACTGTATGTAGATCTTCTATTCATTGTTGATGTTCATTGAAAGGCTCTGTAGAGCAAGAAAATACAAATTGGACCAATTGGTCAGATCAGAAAGAACACTAAATATTTTAGTAGTCAGTTGCATTGAAGTCATTCCTGTTAGAAGAATTGGGTACTGTATTTTGATAATTGTTTTCATCGCAGGGAGAGAAACTGCAAGCAATAATTGTTGATTTTGAAATGAATGTTTTATGGATGTTAAGATTTATGTACAATATTTCAGGATAATTTACAAAATTGAAGATATACCGTTCAAGTAAACTACTTAACTATTTTCTATGAATTACAATCTTTCAAATATTTAAAATGTTGTTTCTTTAAATACGTATGAGAATTAGTTGTTTTTGAATTAATTGTTGTGTTCATTTTAAATTGTGAAATATATTCCAATTTCGTCCATTTTTTTTTTAAATCTTAGTTGTCCATACACAGACACTCTGCCTCTCTTTGTTGTGTCTAAAATCTAAAATTTGGGAACCAATTTTAAATTATTTTGTCGAATTATTTTTCAAAATAAATTTTTTATGTATGAACCATGATGTATATGATTTTTCTTTTTGGTGTGAAATCCATTCAAAATCGGAAGCAATAATTGGAACCCCATGTTGTACTAAAATTTGTTAAAAACCAAATTCATTTTCTATGAAACAGCAAGGTATTTGTTCACACTGAGGTTTAAATATATACAATATAAAGCAGTCCTTTTTGTTTTGAGTTAAATAAAGTGAACTGATAGTTTTTATATTTGGAATGTTTCCTAGATGTGTGCAAATATTTGTGCTCAGTTATAACTGAATCATCTGTAAGATATTGATCATTTAGATATAAAATGGTGAAGGGTGTTGTTTTTTAGATTAAATACGTTCATAATTGTTCACAATTTTTATAATGTTACTATATTGGAACTTAGTTTTTAAGTGAAATTGTGTTCAAAGCTGTTAAACAGATATTATTTCTTTTACCCTAAATTGGATAATATTCACATTCATTCAAGTTTTGTCACATAAGAAAAATGTTTTGTTTGGACAAAGGTTCATCTTAAGACTTGTTTTCTTAACAGTACCACCAATAATTTACATTATATTAGTTGCTTTCACTCCACTTAAATAGCTTAGTGCTTTCACTCATATTAAGGGAAACTTTTGACAGTTGTTAATGAGCAAAACAAGAACTTAAGCACAATGCCTGCATGTATGGCACATTTGAGCAATTATTTTACACTTTCTTATTTCAATATTTGTTAGAAATATAAAGGCATTGACAGGAACTAAAAACCTTCTTACAAATATGTGAAATATCAGACTCCTCCAAATTCCTTAATTCTTACTAGTACCACTAAAATGGGCATCATTTTCTTATGGGTCTGTTGAGTAGTTGGGACTATGATATATTGGATAATGCTCAAGCTGAATTTTGTACTGTAGAATAGGTTGGATATTTAAAGTTATGGTCTAATGAATGATTATGATACCAAGTTAATGAATGTCTATATAGAATACTTATACAGCTATATAATTAGTTATATTCTATACATAATGTACTCCATACAAGTACAGTTTCTGGTGTACACATTTTGGAAATAAATATAGAGTATGCAATATTGTGTTATTTTTCATGGCTACAGATTTATTTGGAATTTGACCATCATTACCCTTATTGTTTGGTCTTCCGAACTTGTGATTTGTCACCAATTCTAGTGTTTTTGTCACAGTTATAATTGTACTGTGACTATTTGTACTGTGTTAAGCTTTAATTTGATATTTAAAGGAATATTTTCAATTGACCATGACTGTCACAAGATGAAATTGCTATTGAAAGATTAAACTATAATACACAGTTAAAAAAAAGAAGTATAAAGAAAATTACCTAGAGAAAATCAAGTTCAAACCTATATACAAAACTCTGATTTCCAAGAGAGGGTCTTTGCAATTCAGAAACCAAATTACTTATGAAAGCGAAATTCACAAAAGAACCGAAACCAAGGGAACCTGGGTTAACAGAGATCAGGAATGAGTGAGTGAGTGAAGAAATGAATTCATGCAGATGAATATGAGAGTATGAAAAGAGAAAGAAAGGGTGAGTGAGTGAGTGAAGAACTCACTCAGATGGATAAGAGAGGAGAGAAAGAAGATAGGTGAACTGTGCTACAGTGTTTGTTAGGAAAACACGAACAGTGATTAAAACTTAAATAGATAAATTAAACTGTAAATAAACAATGAATAGGCCTACAAATCGCAGATTTCTCCAGACTTCAAATGCACATAACTTTCAAATTTTCAAGGCACAAAAAGCCAGGAAGTGTGTCAGATAATCTATAAATTTAAAACTAGAGAAAGCTGCCTAGATTCCATTGCAACATCCCCCATTTTTCATTAAGGAGGTCGAAAGAAGAGGGGCATAACGTAAAACTTCAACAGTCTCTCCGAGATAATCGATGTTGATAATGGGAAGCAACTCAACAACGTGCGTTGATGAAACCATTCTAGACAGTACAGTATTTGTTCACTTTTATATATACATTTTGTATCACAATTACACAATAACATGACAATAAAAATTGTTTCTCAAGAAAAATGTCCAATAGTAAGTGTTCGTCAAGATATATAATGTCTATTACTAAGGTTTCTCAAAATAGTAGTCTAATAAAAAGTTTACCACGAAAATGTCTAGTAGTGTCTTTCAAGATACATAATATCTAATAAAGATATGTCAAGAAACTTTGTATAGGTCTAATACTAAGGTTTCTAAAGATAAAAGTATTATAATAAGTTTCTCAAGGAACATTTTTAAGTGTTTGTAAGTGTTTTAAGATTCTCCGCTTTTACAAATGATTTCAGTTATTTTCCGTACTCGGCTGGTGTTATAGGATATAACCTCCGCAGATATATTCATGGCCTTGCCGATTTGAGACCTTATGAACTTTCAGGTCAAGTCAGTACACGATTGACATTTATGGCAATCAAATGAATGTATTGAAATGGTTGATTTAATGATGTAATGGAATTTATGAAGTGTCTAATAATAACTGTTTGTCAAGATACTTGTCTTATGTCATAAGATATCTATTTTATAATTAGTTTTTTAGATACTTGTATTATGTCAAGATACTTGTCTTATGTCATAGATATCTATTTTATAATTGGTGCTTGTCAAGATACTTGTAGTATGTCAAGATACGCGTCTAATAATTTAAGTGTATGTAAAGATACCTGTATTATGCCAGGATACATGTCTCAAGATACTTGTCATAGATATCTATCTAATAATTAGTGTCGGTCAAGATACTTGTATTATGTCAAGATACGTGTATAATACTAAGTGTTTGTCAAGATACATGTAGTATGTCAAGATACGTGTCTAATAATATGTGTTTGTCAAGATACTTGGTTTATGTCATAGATATCTATCTAATTAATGTGTGTCAAGATACTTGTATTATGTCAAGATACGTGTCTAATAATAAGTGTTTGTCAAGGTCAAGATACGTGTTTAATAATACGTGTTTGTCAAGAAATTTACTTATGTCACAATACGTGTCTAATAATAAGTATTAGTCAAGATACTAGTCTTATGTATAGATATGTATCTAATAATCAGTGTTTGTCAAGATACTTGCATTATTCCAAGATACGTTTCTAAGAATAAGTGTTTGTCAAGATACTTGAAGTATGTGAAGATACGTGTCTAATAATAAGTATTTGTCTTATGTCATAGATATGTATCTAATAATTAGTGTTTGTCAAGATACTTGTAGTATGTGAAGATACGTGTTTAAGAATAAGTGTTTGTCAAGATACTTGTATTATGTCAATGTCAAGATACTTGTATTATGTCAAGATACGTATCAAAATATAAGTGTTTGTCAAGATATCTGTCTACTTATAAGTGTTTTATTTGAAACACGTAACAGCGTTAAGGCTTTAAATTTGATTCCGCACTTGATGATCCGTAGTTCAAGTATTTCAGAAGAAAAATACATCTCGTACATCAGCATATCGATCAAGAATGGTGAAAAATAGTTCAGCACTGTTGCAATTTGCCTTTTCTATTTCGATGATTAAATTCAAAAAGCCGCAGGTAATGAGCTAAATGTGAATTTAATTCAACGCCATGTGTGTGCTAATAGTTATTCTAAAATTCTTGGTGGAAATGAGAATTTTCTGTAATCGTACAGGTTTATTGATATCTTCTCTGACATTTAAGATTCTAATAAAAGGATTTGCATGTCGGATATTAAACGCTGCCTTATTTTCGATGCAATAAGTTCCAATATTTTTTAAATCAGATTTGTACAGCTCACTTTCTTTTTGAATCTAACAGAACCACATTTTTTTTTCACTTCTGAAATTGATTCATTTTTTATTATGTTTCTGTATAATCAATAGGGTTTTATCGGTAGATGTTAAAAACCTAAAATAATATTGCTTCCAATAAAAACAAGATGGACTCACTAAATGAAGTTATAAATATGTCAATACTAAAGCTATGATATACGCTTCGACAAAGGAGAGTATCTAACATAAATGAGCAATTCTCAACTATATCTTTATTGTGTAACATAATTATAAATACTATTATTCACAACTGGAGCAACAATTCACTCTTAATCCGCCCTTGACATGAAGCTCAGGTATTACTACATATTACTTCCCGTATAGCAGTGAGTTAATTTTCCCTCAGCGTATGAAAAAGTTTTAATCACTTTCTAAATATACATTTCCTTATTCAAAGAGTTTTTTTTAATTAGAAATGCTAATTAAACCTCTAGGTAATAATTGAAGAGGAGATTTTAAATAGATTTCACTCCCTCAAGAATTGTAAATTTAAAGTGAAAACCATACTTATTGAATTTGACATTTTCGCATGAAAAGATCTAATTTCAATAGACATTTTCACGAATTCTACCAACAAGAAAAAAAATGAGTTAAAATTACCATAAGAAGAATTGGTGTAAATATTATTTCTTTGTAACGTGACTTCTAGTCAATATTAAAATGAGATTTAAACAGAGGTTGGTAGTATTAGCCTATTACAGCGAGAGTGAAGGAAATCCATCAATGTCATGGTTGATCACGGTGGCCAAGGATAATTTGGTACCAATTCACAAATATTGATTTTAAGTTGACAATCTTTCACTGCCATATAATAGCTTGGAATAATCTCTGGCTATAATAAAGTCAACCTTTGTCTACCATATTGCATTACTAGTCTAGTTGTGTTAGTTTAGATTATGCATAATATGCTCTATGCTCTTCATTCGCAACAATTTGATTTAAGCCACCACATCTGTCAGATGTACAGGGCTATAAGACTTTGCGATAGCAATAAAAATCCGTATAAGCAAGGCAATTGGTCAATCAACTAGCCCATCCACAGAATAGCACAATCGGGTAGTGGATTCCTCAAAAGAGAAGTACTATCGATGTTGCGATAAGAGTAAGCATGATCTGCTTCGTGCGCAACACCCACCACTACTACAATAGTCAAAATCATGAGATACGACCAGATCAATTCATGTCTGACCATGCGATTTGACAACTTG